TATTGTGATCATACATATTTTGTATTGATTAACTTTTAAACTGACAAATGCAATTAATGTTTGCTCTAATTGATGATATTATAGGTAAGGGCACAACATATTTCATCAGGTTGATTCATAGGTTCATGAGTTTATTTCCATGCCTTCTCCAACAAAATTTAATTGAGATTCAAACTTCATCATTGAAGATACTTTTAAGTAACATCATGATAAGGTCTACTATGATTCATCATCCCTCAATTTGTCAAAGAAAATCAAAAGATGCAAGAGTTGATAGAAGCAGTTTGATCTAATTGGACAAGTTCTTAATTTCTTGATCACAAGTGCATAACTCTCTCAATTATTAACATTTGGAGTTGTTTTTTGTTACTATGAGTTCTTATTATCATCCACAACAACTTCTATTCACATGGAAAGAGTAATTGTGCAAGAAAGTTTGTCAAAATTGAAAGGGGTTTCCAAGTCATTTTGGTGCTCTAGGAGCTAGGGTTTTGAACTTCTAAGGGCTATATCTTGCTCATATTTTGGTATTTTTGAGTGATTCCAAAGACATGATTCTCTTTGAAGAGTTATCAACCAATCACTTCAAAAATTTCAAGAAATGTTTGTGTGGAAGATACCTAATGATGAAGAAAGTTTACATGTCCTCTAGATAGGCCATCAAATTACCTTATGTGACTTCAAAAGATCATAACTTGGTCAATTTTTATCTCTTTTAGCCCATTAATTTCCAAAACGATCTTAAGGATGTGAAATTCAACTCTTCTTTTATGTGCAAGACTTGAAAATGGGTGTAAGATGCCCTAAGAACCCAAAAGATTATAGGTCACCTCATGAATTTTCACCAATTTTGTAAGACCATAACTTTTTCAATACTTGATATTTTTGAGTGATTCAAGTTGAACAATTCTCTTTAGGATGTATAATTCCAACTATCATCAATGATAAAAGCTCAATTTTAGAGGAAGGCCTTGTCTGGACTCAAAACATTATATGCCATTTTTTGAAGAAAAAACCTAGAATTTTTCGAAGTACAAAAAGTCAGCATTTTTTTCTCAACTTTGACTCATCACAACTCCTATATTAAGTATCCAATTGATCCAATTCTTTGTACATTGTAAAATTTGTGACCTTATATTTCAATTGCTTCAAGAATCATACCCTAAGATTCATTGAGTTGTGAATACCATTGATTCAAAGTTGGTACCTTGAAACTGACGTTTTCCTCCAAGTCAGAATTTGAAATGCACAATTCAGCTTCTAATAACTAAATTATTGTGCGTATTTACTTATAATCATGTCTAACAATATTCCAGAAGTGGTTAGCACCTTAAAACACAAGTTTTGGCTGAGTTTTGAGCAAAATATGAGTCACACTTTTCATGCTTACAACTTCACACGAATTCCCCCCAAACTTCATCGTTCCACACGCTTGAGCATCCCATTTGCTTCCCTATAAATAGAGGGTTATATCTCACTCATTTTCTCAAGCTTTTGATAGCCAATTGACCCCTGTTCAGATTCTACACGAACTCTAAATTTAAATTTCTGATTTCTTGCTTTCTCACTCCAAAACACCAAAAGCTCCATTCAGTTAGCTTCATTGAACTTCTCTGAAGCTAACCACACTCTTACCTTCAAGAATTGTAACCTATGCTGATCTACAGAAGTTCAGTTTCAGAACCACCTTTTGCTAATTCGTTCAGGTAGATTTCTTTTTCAAATTGATCCAAATAAAATACTAATCTACTCTCTACATCCTTCTTATTCTCGTGCTTTTTATGATTTGCAATTTCATTGAGATTTGAGTGAGATATTCCAGTATTTCGTGCTTGCTATTATTTCTGCATTTTCTAAATTTAAGCCTTGCTCAATTTATATAAATTTAGCGTGATGGTATCATTAGAATCGTCTTGAAGAGACGAATCTAATGGTACATGTCTGGATTGCTAATTTTACAGTTTGTGGAATTCAATTTGAGGTTGGCTGGAAGTTAAAGACGATGACATGTCCGTCTTCAACCAATGACGTTTAGCCACGTTATTTTTTGAAACAGATTTGGTGTTTCACTTTACCATGCGCGCATGTTGTGAGCCCTAGGATCTGATTATTTTAGTGAGTCAGACTCTATCCAACATGCCACATTTTTAGTTATTTTTATTTTATAAAAAATGATTATATGTGATAATGAAGTCTATGACATGCACAACGCGTCAGACCCATTGGACCTGTTTACTAATGCGTTTTAACAATGATCAGATGGTCCACATTTTTTTGGTTTGTTATTTTATTTTCTAATTTTTTATTTTAATTGATTTAAACTTCAAAAAATCATAGAAAATTCATTTTTGGCTCAAAAATTATGAAAAAATTGACAAAAATATTTTCAAATATTCTCTTCCTGATTTTTATTTTTTCATGATTTTTTAATCCAGATTTGATTTTTTTTTATTTCTCCTTTATTTTAACTTGTTTTTAATTATTTAAATTTTTTTTTATGTTTTTAAATTCTGAAAAACATTGTAAAAATCTTTTTACTTATTTCTGATTTTCTGAAATTTTTCTAAAATTTTATCTTGATTCCTACTATTTTTAATTTTTTCCTTCACTTATTTGGGTGATTTTAATTAGTTTAAAAATACTTTTTTGTTTAAAAAAATTACCAAAAATTTTTAAAAAGTATTTGAGATTATTTCTGATTTTTCTATGGATTCTTTAAATTTTTCTTTAATACTTTGAACATAGTTTACTATTTTAACTTTTATTTTCATTTTAAAAATAATCTAAAAATCATTTTTCCTTTTTTATTTTATTCATTAAATGCAATTTATTTTTTTAATATATTTTGGCTATGTGATTGTTGATCATAAAACTTCATTAACATCGTTGGATTTTGAGTGTTGAGTTTAACTCCACTAAAATGGATGTATGATTTTAATGATAGTTTGATTAAATTTTTTATTCAAATGTATCTCCTCCCTCTTCATCTCATCATCTTCTCCTTTGTGCTACATGTTGTTAGATGATGATCTACATATCATCATTCCAAACATATGACACATATATTTTTATTAACCTGCCTCAAAATAGGTGCGATTTCTACATAAGTTCACTTATGATTGTTTAACATAATACTAAATTTTGTCCCGATTCGAGAAATGATCATTCATGGTCCAAACTCATGTTTGTAAGCCCAATTATGTTTAATTTGAAACCTTTTATTTGATAACCTTGAGATTCATTGTTAGGAGGCTTTGGTGTTATCAATCCTCTAATGAACCTTCATAAATTTTAGAATTAAGTGAATCATTTAAACATCATTGATCATTTATTGTTTCTTTGAGATTTTGAAATGAATGATATACTTGATAAAAAGCAAATGAAACTTTTTGTTGAGAGGCTTTGATTTTATCAATCTTCTAATGAGTTTTCAAATGCAAGTTTCAAGATGGTCATTCAACTAACCTCTAATTCCTAACAATTAACTTTTATTTTTATGCTTTTATTTTAAGCACCATTTATCTTAGCATTTTCATTTCAAGTGCTCTATATATCAATTTGTTGGTGCAAGGTGATGAAATTGAGGAAAAAGAGAATAAAGATGACGACTGCCAATGATTGAAAAAAGGAATTGAATTGTATTTAATGAGACTTAGGTACACCTATTTATACACAAAGATAACAAAAGATAAGAATGTCACATAGGCCCTACAAATGGATAAAAAGTACCAAATATAGCAAATACTAAATTACCCCTTTAATATCCCATAATTGCTAAAGTCATTTATTAGATTTTGATAGTTGGATTTAAATATAATCAACGAATTTAACTTACATGCTGGTTTTTGTGATTGAGAGAGATAGAAAGACAAGATAATGATTTACTCAAGAGCATTTGGATAAGATGGAGATCTCTTCAAGTATAATGAGAGGTCCTGAGTTCGATTAAAGATGTCAAAAATATTCGATACCCACAGATATTTGCGGATAAAATCTATCATAAATATGAGACAGATAGCTTAATAGATACTGATAAAATAAATGGATATTTAAATACCCGTTTATTAATGGATATGAATATAAAATTTATTTTATTCGTGTCTGCAAATATCCGTATTCGTTAATAAATTATAAAAATTATTTAAATATTACCAGTTTAATATACTATATCTTTTCATATTCTAACAAAATAATCTCCTCATATTTTTTTAATGTTTTCTCTGAAAAAACATTTATACTCCATATAAATCCTATTCATCATTTCATATTTAAGCTTCTTCTATATTTCATCCCTCACTTCAACAATTTTTCCATCCAACCAACCAATACCGTCATTTCTCCGTCCAATCAATTTTATCATTTCTACTCCTTCATTAACCGCTCTTCATCATAACTCACAAACATAATATCTTTCAATTTATTTTGTTAAAAATGGAATGTATGAACATTATAATTTGGTGAAAATGAAAAAAAATTAATGTGATGAAATATTATTGTTAAAATAAAAGAGATTTGTATGGATGTTATAAAAAAATAACTTCTAATATCTTTAAAAGAAATTGAAAATATTTTTTCAAAACATAATTTTAGAAGAAAAAAAAATATTATTCATGAATACATGTAAATATCTGCAGATATCTTAAAATCTATAAATTATCTATATAACAGATACCCGTAAAAATATGAAACAGATATTAATATCATATTTATACAATGAAATGATATAGTATATTTATTTCATTGTATACTATATGTTCTTATGTATATTTATTTACATTCTTATATTCGATTAATGTCTATTTTAAATATACAATATTATCGAGAGATTAGTCATTGCACTTATTCACAAAGAATACTTCGGTTTATAAAAAAACACAAAATAATAATTAAACTATGCACGTGAAAATTAAAAGTTAAATTAATATATTAATTTTTAATTTATTCAATGGAAGTCCTAAAAACAATAATTGCACATTAACTTGTACAAAGATTTAGAGATGCTAGAATCCGCAACAACAAAAGTGTACTCCTTGACAGAGACCGCCGGTACGGTAACCAAGTTTGTGACATCGGTCAGAACAAGCATCATCATTTTTTGGACAGAAGTCACTTTTTTCACAGTAAAGTGGATAACCAAATGCTCCACCTACATTCCATAAAGCATTACACAAAATTGATTAAATTATTATTTTTTCAATATATTAAAACAAAAATTATACAAAACCAGACAAGAATTGTAGAACTATGAACATGTAAGTATTTTCTAAGATGTTGTTATCGGTTTTAATGAAGAAACCATGGGATGCTCTGAAATCTTTTAGGTTTTACTTTTTCTCTTTCATATATTATTTGTCGCAATTCATAATTTTATATACAGATTAAAAAATAATAATAAAAGAAGAAAAAAAATAATTTACCAATTTATCATAATTAATTATTGATGTATTCAAATCAACATTAATATTAAATAAGAAAATAATAAATTAAAAATAATTATTAGAAGATACAATTGAAAAGATTAAATATAAAATTACATTGATATTTTAAAGTGCTTAATATTTTAGAATAATTTTTTTTCTGAATGTAACTCTTATTTTAGACGGAAAGAGTACATTTTAACATTCTGAAATTGAAAAAACATATTTCTATTTAAAAGTTTTGTTAGAAATACAACTATTTTCTATTTTTCCTAAAATCATGAAAACTAAAATAAGTTTTAAAGAAAAATTGTAAAAAATTTGATTATACCTGGAGTCAAAATAGAAGCAATGCACAGAATCGCAATGAAAAAAAACATCTTGATGCAGGTAGCCATGTTCTTGTGGATGATCAACAAACAATAAGGGGCTATTTATTGAGACAACTACACAAGTTACTAGTTTTACAATTAATTGGAAAAAAAGTAGAAGTTATTGAGCATATAATATTTTAATAATTTGTTCTAGCAAAATACTCTCTTCATTTTTTATTATAAGAAAATTAAAAACATTTAAATTTATTAAATGAATAATATATCTGATTTAAATATAGATCAAATATGTAACTTATTCATTGAATTTAGAAAGTTAAAATTTCGATTCTAATAAAAAAATGAAATGAGTAATATCTTTTAATTTTGTGTATTATTTTTGAATTATTAGTAATAAACATAATAAGTTTTGTCAACAAAAATAATAATTTTAGTCCTTTTGCAATTAATTATGCATGATATGATAGATAAAAAAAATAAGGGGATGGATAAAGATAAATATTCCCTGACATGATAAATGTTGATGAGTAAATTCGAAGTTATTGATATTCATCATATTTTCAGCGAGTCCAATAAATGTGCTTATTCTCTTACTATAGAAAGGAAGAAATTGAAAGGGGATACCTTGATCCTCATGGAGTTGCTTATCTGGCTAGAGCATTTGTTGGATAAGATAATAGTAGTGATTGTTTTTCTAGAGTTATTTATGTGTAGTTTTGTTTTCTTTTGGGCTTAAGCCTTCCATAATACCAAAAAAAAAAAAATTTGAATCGGATGGTTAGATTGATTGAACTGAAAATTAGAGGAGTTATTGGACTAGCTATCTTCGGGTATGAAAGTTGTATCAAATATGCTTTTGAATCGGTGGAAATCGGTTAAATGTATTGTTTTTTCGGAAAAAAAATTGATAATTTTTAAAAAAATATAATTAGATTTTATTCAAATTTTATCTACTTCTCTTTATTTGCAATTAGACATGTTTAGAATTTATTTAGATTTGTATTTTGTATTTTTTAGCATTTACATCTCATATGTTCTCCTTTTGTTCACTTGAGCATTTATCTTTATGTCATTTTATCTTTGCTCATTTGAGCTTTTATTTTCTTTTGAAGATACTTAATAATCAACTTGAACATAATTTTTTTTAAGGTTACTTGGACTATCTGGTTACTATCCTTGGCATTATGGAGTTGTGGATCTCTCGGACTTAGGATTAGAAGCCTTGATACTTGGGTCTTGTTGCTCTATTGTTATTCTGTCTGAAATCCCAAGGCATTGGTTTGAATTTTTTCTGTGTGTAAGATGTTTTGATTTTCATGCTTTGTCTGTGATTGAGAATTTCTCTGTATACAGTTGTTATTTTGCAATTTTTGTGAAGACTTAATATATGTGAAGTTTGGTATTCTTTAGAGGTTTAGTATTTTTGCTTGCTTGGTTTTAATCCAAAGGATGTGAATTCTACATTGACTTCTTTATGTCAAGTGTTGGTTTCTTGTTGGTTAGGTCATTCTTTTTCTTCACTTTTACTTTATACTTTAGGATAATCCCTTCATCTCCTCCCATCTTCTTTAATTACAAATCTTCTCCCTCATTTTCAAAACTATTCTTGTTTTTTAAACTCGAACCGCTTTCATAATAAACTTAGACTCATGTCCATGCATTTTCAATTTTTTTCTTAATGAAACCCTTAATCAATTTAATCATACTTTAACATCTTTCTCAAGACTAAAAGTCATTAATCTCATTCAAACGATTTTGCCACTTTGACTTTTTATTTTAAACTTTTCTCAAAAGATTAGACTCTTGTCGATTCTTGTAGTGATGCGAGCTATTATACTCTTATGATATGTAGTGAAGTGAGATATTTTCCACTTGGGTGTTAAGTGAGGCTTTGTTGATTTTAAATCCAAGTTATATCCTCCATTTTGAGATGATGCAAATTCTCCTTTCTCATAATCGTGGATAGTAAGTATGTTTTTCACTCGGGTATGACGACGATGTCCTTTCTCTTAAAAATTAACCAACACAATGTGTTTTAAATTTTTTAAGGTGAACTACGAGTACCCTGATCCCCTATTGCACAGAAGGTGGTACGTAGGCACTAAAGGTTCGCAATTGCGGAGAGTGAAAAAATTGTAAAAAATACTTATTTTCTGATCTCCACCATCTTAATTTGTACACACTTTTTATAGCAAAAATATACAGATTTTCAAAGAGGTTCCTGTGGAGTACGGTAGATGTTTAGGATGCTAATACCTTTCCTTTGCATAACCAACCCACGTACCTGGATTCTCTCTCCCTCTTTTTTAGGTTTATTTGCTCTTTTCCCATTTCTTGGAAATAATAAAGCGCAGTGGAGATTTTTATTTGATTTGTATGAGTTAAGTCAATCCAATGGCTTAGCCTCCACATTTCTACCGCTACAGAAAACTGGCGACTTCACTGGGGACAAATCTCTAAGTGGGTTGAGCATATCTTTGTTTATTTGTGTATGTGCTATTATTTGTTATATATTATTTGTTTTATATATGTATGTCTAGATTTTTCTGGTTTTCAGGGTGCTTGGTGATCTCTTTAAGTCTTATACCCAGACTTGGGAAAATTTAAGATAGAACGGGTGGTATAGTCATGTTAACTTTGAGTGAGTAATTCCAAAAAAGGAGACATGAGATCCCCCATTAAGTGGATGCCCCTTTTGACTGTAGTGTTTGTTTACCGAGCAATCGGGAAGACATTGCTGCATTTGAGCTAGGATCCTGAGAAGCTGAGAAGTCGTAGAACCCTTAAGCCATCTTGGCCTTTTAGGTATAGTGCGGAGACTATGACGGAGCAATCTGAAAGTAGTTATCATGCGATGTTGCACTAAGTCGAGTTTTTCCTGAGAATATTGCTACTTACCGAGCAAATCGGGATGTTGGTGATATCCGAAGGAAGAATGTAGACTCTGGGATTTCCTTAGAACCTTGTTCGGCAGGTGATAAACCATTAGTCATTACCTTATGGGTAGAACCTTTGACTTCATGCTCGTGACATCGAACCTATGAACCCCCATGTCTGTGATCTTGTGTGTGATTGTTGCATCATCATGCATTCATGCATCCATGAGCATTCTTTAAATATTTTTTCAAGGAATTTAAGGTTGACTTTTGCAAATATCTCAGACACTTTTTTTTACCATGGATTTTGGAAGGAGAAAGACTCAGAAGTACAGTTTCAAGGATTCTAAGATAGAGGAACTGATGAGTTTGATTTATGAGATTGAGAGTTCTACAGATTTCCAGAAGAAGTATGAAGCTATTGTGCCTCTTATGAAGCTCAAGATGAAGGAGAACATTCTTTCTACATTGGTCAAGTTCTATGATGCGTTATACTGGTGTTTCACTTTTCCTGATTATCAACTGATGCCCACATTGGAGGAGTATTCTTACTTACTTGGTTTACCTATTACTGATTGTGTTCTCTTCACCGACTTAGAAGGAAAGCCCAAGTCTCATGAGATTGATACCATAATTCACTTAAATAAGTCAGAGATTGAGGCTAACGTGACTACCAAAGGAGGAATCAGAGGTTTACCTGCTCAGTTTCTATTGAAGAAAGCTTGTTACTTCGCTAAAATAAAGAGTACAGTTGTTTTTGAGGCTATCTTTGCTTTGCTTGCTTATGGTTTGTTCTTGTTTCCTAACATCGGAAAATTTGTGGATGTTAATGCCATTAGGTTCTTTCTGATTGGGAATCCAGTCCCTATGCTACTAGGAGATACTTATTATTCCATCCATCTTTGGAATTTCCTCAAGATGGGATGATCATCTGTTGCACACCATTGTTATATCAACAGTTTATTTCTCACTTACTTCGGTCTGTTGCTTTTTGGGATATCAAGAAGGAACCCGTTGGACCCTAAATATTATGGCTCTCACTCATTCTAACATTTATTTGTATCATCAAGCTTATTATGATGCAGAGATTATTCATAGTAGTGGTGTTTTTCCCAATGTGTCTCTTCTTGGTATAAAAGGAGGAATTAACTACAATCCTATTCTTGCACGCCGCCAGCTTAGATATCCAATGAGAGACAAGCCAAGCAGCATTCATCTGAGTGGTTTCTTTCTCAAAGAAAGATAAGATCACAAGGTAGCTAAGGAAGATATTGAAAAGTCTTGGTGCCATATTCATAGGAAGGGTAGAAAATATTTGGGACTAAGAGGGGTTGTTTCCTTAGAGGCTCATCTCTGTTGGGTACAAGCAAGGGCAATTCAGTTGAAGATTCCTTATTCTAGTGAGGAAACTACATTTGATATGTTTATAAGGACTACTCCTACTTTTGTAGATGATATGGGAGAACTTAAGCTTGCCTTAGTTAGGATGCAGCAAGAGAAGGAAGCATGGAAGAACGAGTGCCAGACTTTGGAGGTGTCATACTCAAAAGAATTAAAAGAGAAGGATGACTTGATTGAGATTCTTGAGAGTCATGATGTAGAGATGATGGAGAAGCAAGAGGATTCATTTTCCTCTAGAGTTCATCCAGGTCTCAGTCACCCGTTTTCTGATTTTGGTGGATGGAAAGAAGCCTCTGATAAGTATACATAAGAGAACAAGCCGTTCAAGGTTCAGATTACAAGACTCAAGGGAAAACATCAGTGTGTGGAGAGATCTTCATAAGCTTTGACTCCTTAGGATTTTTAAATTCTATCTTTATTCTCTTGTACTTAGGATTATTGAAACTTGTACTAAAAGTTGTAATCCATTCCAAAGTTATTATTAAAATGAGAATTTTCAGTATTTCCAAATGTGTTAGTACTTCAATATTTGCAATTGTTTATGATACTTTGAGTTCCTTTAATAAAAAAGATAAATCATGTGCATTACATATCATGCATCATTTTGCACATATTTTTTGCATTCCTATTCATTCCCAGGTGTCTTACTTGTTTCTCCGCTTCATTCAATCGGCAAGCTGTCTCATCGCTACAATATTCTGGCTAATTCTAGAAAGAAGATGGAAAACCTTGAATAAGAGAATCGTGACTTGCACGAAGAAGTTACTGTTTTGAGAGCTGGTATGGCCA